CCCCCCCCCCCGCCCCGCGGGCTCAGGGCCTTTGGGACCTGCTTCAGGCTTTTCTCCCCGGCAACCCGCGCCTTGGGCCACCGCATTGGAAACCTTGGCTCGGCTCTGTCGGGACATTCGTCTCAAGACCTTCAAAATGGCTTTGACGGCTCTGCGCAACAGAGAGCTCTTGGGGGGTGGGGGGAGATGGGGGTCCTGAAGACCAGAGGTGGCCTCGGGGGGGAATCGGATCCAGGTGCTCAGTTTCTAAGGATTCTCTGGAGGGCTGGGGTTTGGGTTGGCATTTGGCATGGGAAGGGGCGTAGGGGGAATCCCTAAGAACAGTCGTGGCGCCAGCTGAACAGCCGGTGCGTGCAGGTGGAGAGAACGTGTGACACAAGAACAGGAGGCCAAAGGGGAGCAGCAGGTTGACGCGGAACTGGGCAGTCGGCCTGTCCTTTCACGCCTGTTTATAACGTTAAAAGAGAAATAGCTGAGCCTTTGTAGCTGCAAATGGACTCCCAGGGATCTACATGTTTTCTTAGAATCATAGAATCATTTAAGTTGGAAAAGACCTTTAATATCATCAAGTCCACCACTAAACCATGTCCCTAAGCACCACATCTACCCAGTTTTTAAATACCTCCAGGGATGGGGACTCAGCCCCTGCCCTGGGCAGCCTGTTCCCTTCTTATCTTCTCCCTGCATAACCTCACAACATCCTTGTAGTCCTCCTGAGTTGCCTGCCCCTTCTTCCAAAGGTCATAAACTCTCCTTTTGTTCCTGAGTTCCAGCCGAAGCTCTCTGTTCAGCCAGGCCGGTCTTCTCCCCTGCCAGCTCATCTTTCGGCACATGGGGATGGCCTGCTCCCGTGCCTGTAAGGTTTCCTTCTTGAAGCACGTCCAGCCTTCCTGGACTCCTTTGCCCTTCAGGGCTGCCTCCCAAGGGACTCTGTCAACCGGGCTCCTGAACAGGTCAAAGTCTGCCCTCTGACAGCCCAAGGCAGCAGTTCTGCTGACCCCCCTCCTTACTTTTCCAAGAATCAAAAACTCTTACCAGTTCATGATGGCTATGCCCAAGACGGCCTCCAACCATCACATCACCACCAGGCCTTCTCTGTTCAGAAACAACAGGTCCCCCAGGCGCCTTCCCTAGCTGGCTCCCTCACCAGCTGCGTCAGGAAGTTCTCTGCCATGCGCTCCAGAAACCTCCGAGACTGCTTCCTCTCCGCTGTCTTGTATTTCCAGCAGACATCTGGCAAGTTGAAGTCCCCCATGACAAAAAGGGCTAGCGACTGTGAGACTTCTCCCAGCTATTTATAGAATACTTCGTCTGCCTCTTCATCCTCGTTGGGTGGTCTATAACAGATATAGATCTTCCCTTCTTGGCTGTTCATTGCTCAGCCGCTTGATCCGTCTGTCTGGTTGGTGACAAGTGCCAAGACATACAGCCCGCAGCTGGCTTGTAGGTTGTGGCCTGTAGTTCTCGCTTCCTAAGGGACGACCAAACAAGTTTGCTTTTCCTTTTCACTGTCTTCACCTTAGCCCAAATGACTTAGCTCAAGTCGGTTTTGTTCACTGCTTGTCCTTGCGTACAGTCCGTTGTTGTGACATCACAAACGGTACCTCTTTGCTCCACGGCAACGGCTGAACTTTGTGGCGGAAGGGGTGGGAGGTAGAGGAAACAAGTCTAGAACTCTGGAGGGAGACTGTCGGAGCCGGAGGAGTGTGCAGGGAGCCAGATACTTCCAGAGGCCAGCCTTGAGCGGGGAACTGGGAACTTCTGGCATTGTGGTTGTCTACTTACGTGTTTTACCACTACCCAGTTGGTCTCCCGACTTGCCAGCCTTCTCCCTGTCCTTCTTGAACCAAGTGCTGGAACAGCTTCTGTTGCTTCTCACTCTCAACAGGGATTGTAGCTTAACCTATGGCAGATGATTGTCGTGCAACAGTACCCCAGAAGGCTAAGAAAAGTCCTTTGCACTAGTTTTGCGCTCACAGTACTGCTCAAATGTGCACGGCCCAAAGCCCTGGCTACTTGTAGACACTAGGCATCAGGCCACAAACCATTCTCAATGACAGGTGATGCTAAGGAAAGGTTTCTAGAGGCTGCGGCTGCTCTATCAGCAGTTGATACCATTTCACTGTTTAGCTAGACCAAAGGCCAGAAAGTTAAAAGACGTGTCCTGTGCTTGTTCTTCACTCCTTGATTTTTTCCTTTTGATTTAGGTTAGAGTCCAGTTTTGACCCAAGAGCTTCTTTGACCCTGACAGCTTGAGTACAGAGGCAAAGAAAGGATTGCTGGTGTTGAATGTGAAGAAGGCAACTTTCATCCATTCGCTTGGACGCCTGCTCTGTTGGGAACGGCAAGCAATCCACTCACAGCTTGCTTCTGCTAGGTTTGGCTCAACAGCCAGAAGTGAAGCGAAAAACTGTCTTCTCCATGGCAGACACCAGTGAACCTGAGCAGAGCTGCTGGGCTCACCTACCTGATGTCTGTCTGAGGCACGTCTTCCATTGGTTAGATGACAGGGACAGATCTCGGGCTGCCTTGATCTGTAAAAACTGGAGTCAGGCCATGTACTCGGGATGCCTCTGGAGAAGCAGAACCATCACGTTCTATGGCCGACCATCAAGGACACGCACATTGGAGCTGCAAAGTGCACTGTGGTATGTCAAGAAATTTGGCAAGTATTTGGAGCGCCTTGAGATCAAGGTACGGAAGCCCTCCAATACAGCCTTCACCCAAAAATTTCAAGTGACTATGCAAGATCTTCTTGAACACCTGGGGAGGTGTAGCAGTCGCCTCGTATCCCTGAGCATCAAGTACCTGGCATTAGACCGCTTCATCTGGAAAAATGCGGTTAGGGCTCAGTTTATCAAGAACTTAGCTACCTTCCTGAGAAGAACGAGCAAACGGCTGGATTACCTCAGCTTAAAAGGAGCAAGAGTAACCTTGGAAGGCGGCTGTGAGCTTCTGAAGTCTCTGAGCTGCTTGACGAAGCAAAGCTTTCTCTCGGAAATCAACCTTGAGGATTTCTTCAGTCTCCACCTTCCTGTCTACAACAGCCCCGCGTTCCACCAGACTATGTCCAAGTTCCGCAGCCTGGTCACCCTGACTTTCAATTATCACTGCATCTCTGATGAACTGCTGGACGCCCTGCGGGAGCACAGCGCTCATTCCCTGTGCACCTTGAATATTAAATGTCGTATCAATGAGCCTCACGGGCAAGTGGTGGCAGGAATGGCGTGGGCAAACTTGGCCACGAGAGCCCCAAAACTTCACGTGAACTTCTTCTGTGAAAGAGTCCTGAAGCATGATCACCTAGCCAGGATCCTGCTAGTGGAGATCCCAGTCAGGAGCATCAGCCTACGGAGCTGCTCTTTCAGTCACCCAGACTGGATAATGAGACCTACCCTCACCGACCTCCTCCCAGCCTACAGGCACGTGCTGCAGGTAAGGGAAACAATAGGGACATCTTACTGCCGTAGCGCAAAGCTAAGCAAAGCAATCGTATAGGCCTTCCGCCTAACAGCAGGCATCAACAGGAATTCCTGATGGCTTCAGTTTTATGTTCAGAGGGTAATTTTCATAAGCGAGCCATTCCAGTGTTCCAGCTCTACTCTAGCTTGGGTAATTATCCTTGTCCAGTCACAATCCCCATTACGCTAGTCTTTGCTGTCAGGCTGATGTCCACTTGCCCTCCTGAAAAGCTAAAACACCCAAAATGCTGGTGGTTGTAATATCAGCTGCAAGCAAAAAGAACCTTTCAGGCAGGAAAACGTCCTTTTTGGAAGAAAGCTTTAGGCTTATGCTGGTTAGACACCTTCATGTTTAGTAACTGAGAGCTTTCTTATCTTGTCAGATTTTTCTGAACCCAACCCTTTTGCAGGGAAAGCCGCATATAAGGAAAATAGTCTGTACACCTTGTTTGCTTACAGAGCTATAGCCCGCCTCAACCTCCACAGATGGTTGTGCTCCATTTTGGCACTGCACAAATGTCTGACAGCTCGTGTAAATTAACTGGTGCCCACGTCAAAGCACTCTGGTGTCACCAAGGATGTGTCACCAAAGGTGTGCAACAGCTGACCCGTGTAAGCGAGCGTGAGGTGAGGTCTTTGCATGCCCGAGGGAAGCACACGGCCTTATACCTGATGGTTGCTGACAGCTTGCTTTAAGTTCTGTTGCATTGCAGAGTTTCCAGGAAAGGGCAGAGATCTGTAAAGCTTTCGAGAAATTGTCTTTGGATCTACTCTCGTATCCCGGATAATTTCCAACATGTCAAATACCATCCTGGCATGAGCCTACTGTGGGTGTAGCGTCTTGTAATGGCAACAGAAGTTGTCTGTCTCTTAGGACAGTATGTAATGCACAAGGGACCCCCCCATCTTAACGGGAGAGTGGAGGGTGCTGTAGCATATACTGTTGTCATCGTGCAAAACTGAGTCTCTGCTAATGCCAAGGTACAAAATCGATCTGCTGACAGTCACTTCTGTTGGTAAAAGTGGGAAAGTCGTTTACTGAATTCTGGTTAGTGCGCTCACAACCTCTGTGCAGTAGTACTAACAGTGTTCCTTTTTTTCAAGGAATTAACACTTGAATTAAACAATGACCAGGAGCTGCTGGATGATGAGCTGCTACAGCTCATCTTATCATGCCAGAGACTGTCATTGCTGGAGGTCTGGGCATTTTTAAGCATCACCTTTATGGAGAGGCTGCTACAAAACCGTGCAGAAAGGAAATGCATTTTGACTACCATCAAGGTAAGACTTTGTGCTTCAAAACTGCCATTCCCTTCCTCTCTCAAATACCCAGAGAAAGGGGAGGTCCCCGTGCCCGCAGAAAGGTCACTTACGGAAATGTTAACATAACTGCCTTCCCTAGACAATGTTCTAGCATGAGAAGGAGCCTGAGAACCACTCACAGAAATGGAGCTTTCCAACCTCCTCAGCCATATCCGGAATACTAGAGAAGCTGAATAACAAGCCCCAACAAGTCCACTGGGCCTTCCTAGACTGGGCTTCCCTCTGTCACTTCTAGTTCAAGCTAGGCACTCTCAGTCGCCTCCCAGGCCCAGCGCTTACATCTCTGCTTCCACCAGGGCATGGGGGTTGAATCCCACTAAAGTGCAAAAAGGTATAAACGCATCTCACTCTTTAGGGACGCTGTGTTGAACTGGGGCCAGACCACAACTGGAGCTGGTCTAAACCGTGCTGTCATGCTACTGTGCGTGCTAGATTCTGAATTCAGCAGATCCTCCCAGATCTGTGCAGATCCCAGGGAGGCATCAGTTCTGGGGGTAAAAGGAACCGTGCTCTTCCCAAAAATTCTTTGGCAGGAGACAATGTTTTCAGTCAGTTTGGAGTGAAAACCGAGTCAAACCTCAAGTTTCTACTCAAACCCGAGGAATTTGGCTTCTCTACATTCCTCATTAGTCACAGGGGCTTCTTGTTGTCACCAGCTTTAATGGGCTGAGCCTGCTCCATGGATCTGAGAGACATGACTGTCATTCATGCCTACAGGTCAGGATTTACATAGCTCGACAAGAGACCGACGAAGAGGATCGGCTGTTGTGCGATATTTACAGGAAGTTCAAATCCCTGATTGACTCAGAGCTGAATTATTCTGCCCTCACCTACCCAATGGCTTAAGCCACGGGCAGAGAGAAGAACACCCGGCGACATCTGCAAGCAATGAACGGATCCTTTGGAGGGCATTAGTAAGGGACTGGAATCTTGACGGCAGTGCCTCTGAAAGGGAGATACCATTACAGCAAGAGAGAGGCAAGGGACAATTTTACGCTCCACGCATTAAAATGTTGGACTTGGGAACCGGCCTCCTGTGTCTCCAGCATCATTTCTTCTTGCCCTTGCTTTGTTTTTCCTTGCCAGAAGCAAAGGAACCAGTGAGCCCTTCTCCACCCTTACAGGCACCTCTAGTAAAAATAAGGCCCTCCTCTTTTTTCAGCACTTCTCATTGTAGAGCTTCAAACTCCTTACCAATGAAGGCCACCTCCTTGTTTCCATTTTACCACTAGGGAGCCTGAGACACGGGGCGAGGAAGCGATTAGCCCAAAGTCAGCCTCGGCTGGCTCTTGACTCAGATGCAGTCAGAGGCACTATCCGGTACATCACCAGTCCCTGCCTCCTGTTAAGTTTGCTACACATCCTGTGCCTAGTTCTTAACAGCAGATGTTCCACAGCTTCTAGACCTTTCAATGGCAAAAGGTATCATTGGTTGCACACGACCTAAGTAACATGGAAGAAGGGACATGTCGTCTTCTTCTGGGCTTTTATTGCCCAGTGGGAGATTTCATCGGGCGTTGTAGAGCATAGCTAGCTGTGAAACACGGAGCTGTAAGTACTTGGTCTGTCTTCATTACCTCACATAACTAGAACCAGGACAGCATTGAGCCAAGCCAATCCATCTGGAAGTTTGTCAATAAAATTTCAGCAGGTGCTGGCTCTTTAGAGCACACACAATCTCCCACTATGATGGCTTCAGAAGTTTTTAATGTAAATCGAGTCTCTCATTTGCATGCAGAGCACTTCATCAATGTACAATGCGTTCTCCTTGATGTGGATCTCCTCCTGCAATGAAACCCGTCGGCGGTTCAGACCTTTCAGCTCTGTCTCAGCCTGTGCCAGTGTGTCCTTTAATCTAACAGGGGAAATACAGACAGACATTAGTTGAAAACACATGTATAGCTTTTTTTATATGGGATAAGACTTCTGAGCAAAAAACAAAGATGGAAAAGGATTCACAGACCAACAATATCCATGGAGTTTCCCTTAAAGTGTCCTTCCCTTAAGGGAAAAGCAATTGCCAACCTTCCAGGGAGAACAGCCGGGACCCAATGTTACTTTGACTCATTAAATTAACCCCATAATCTATACCACAGGTTTCCCTCTTTCATCACTTTCACTTGCCTTTGAATATTTGTTGTCATCTCTTGAACTTCACTAATCAGCCTGTATTGCACTGTGTCATAACACAGCTCCACATTGGGGCGATGGTTTCTTGCTTCCAAGCGGGTTTGAGCCACTTTAACAGGTCCTTCTTTATCAGCAATTGCTTTCTTTAAGGCTGCAATGTTGTTCTCCTGTGAGGCAGTCTCATCCATCACCTTAAGAAATCCAACAGAAGGAAGTGCTGCACACTGTCTCTTACAATGGGTGAAATCATCAACATCTTCTTTTATAGTTATAACAATCTTGTTATGATGTTATTTTATCAAAGGATATTTTACAGAGGTAGCCAGGATTACAATTCCTTTGTTGGAAAACAACTGACACTGTTCTGAGTGAAACTGGAGATTTACACTCAGCAATTCATTTTTAACATTAACAGTTTTCATCTATCAAATTTCAAGCACATTGACCCTGATTTTATAAGTTATTAGGCTCTTCTATCACAATCATGAAAATTCTATAGGAGCCCGACGTAACTAAAAATCACAAGGGAAATCCTAACGTTACTGATGTCTACAGCAATACTTACATCGAGTGAGCATTTCCAGAAATTCACCTCTGTAGTGGTGCATGCAGAGCTGAGAAAATAAAATCTAAGACGACTTGGGGGGAGAAGGAAGATGTGGCAGGGGTTGCCAATACTGCAAAGCTAAAATTCTTAAAGCAAAGTAGCTCAAGCCACTGGATTGAGAAAACTGGTAAATAACCCAAGCCCCGTTTCCACTTTTTTTGCTGACTGTCCCCTACCACTTACCATTGCAAGGAGTGTCTCTAGCTTGTGCTTGGCATCCTTGACTTCCTTCACCCTATTTCTAAACGCGACATTCACCACCTCACATTGCTTGCGCATGTCATTCGCTGTCTGTGAGAGGATGCCATCAATCAGCGCCCTCAGTGCCAAAGAATTGTTTCTCTGCTTGTCAGCCTTTTCAACATTTATGTTTGAGAAATCTGTCCAGTCTTCAGGGCTAACAAAACTGAAAGAGATGCAAAATACCAGATCATCAACTGGCAGCATCAGGCTCTCTGTGACTTCATAAATCTATAATTACGCCATAAAACTGAGAACAAAGCAGTGCTATTAACTGCACATCCCAGTGAGTGCCAGTTGTGCTGGGAATTCTACAGATACAAAATAAAGACCCTCGCTGTCGCAAACATTTCAGAATGGAGTAGACAAGGGTAGGATGGAAACAAATTTGCTAAAATCACAGAGCAACTTTGTTGTAACTTTCCTTTCCCTGATAAAGGGTTAAGTGGTTGCGTGGGAAACAGATAACAACCAATATTTCTTAGCATACCTTTCATTAAGGTGTTATTACTAATATAACTCAGCTGTTACCATTAATACCAGGTAACTATTCACACAAAACATTCGCTTACTCTCTCACACAGTTCACCACCAAGATGACAGTCACTTACAGCACCTGGTTGGAAGCCAAGCCCCAACCGTATCCCCAGGATTAGAGGGTGACACTTGTGCACCAGTGGCTTGCAGGCAGGGGTCTGGCAAGTTCCTCAGAGGGTTCCTTGTTTCACTGGGTGAATATAGAAAGCTGTAATTGTCCTTTGCATAGAGCAGCCAACACCGTTCTGGGGGTGGGCAGAGTTCTACAACCTGTTGTTGACACACGCGAACGTGCTAGCAGCAAGCAGTCTCTCGGTGTTCCGAGTTTGTCAGGTCTCGCAGAGCCAACAGTGTCCTTGGGAAACTGTCTCACACACACACTGCTTTCTCAGCACGTTTCCTCTTTTCAGCCTGTTTTTTCTCTGGTAGCTATTTCTCCATCTAAACCGTTCACACTCATGCAGAAGGGGCACATTTGACAGGTTAATGACTGAGGAGTCAGAAACTGAGTTCACACCTCACGTGTCCCAGTCCAGCATTCTCCCCGCTAAGACCCCAGGGGAGAGGAGAAGAAGCTCAATTAGTAAATCTGTTCTGGGTTTAAGCAATGTGTGAAATTTTTCCTTAGCTAATGGTGAGCCTCAAAAACTTTTAGGAAACTGTAGTTCACTGGGAACGTGATTATTGTGGCTTATTTCACAGACGTATTACACAGATACTAAACTGATAGACAGAAGTCTAAAAAACAATCTACAACAGACAGATGATGGACAGATAGAGTCTGTTTTACACAAAATTCATCTTGCTATTACTGGAACAGCTCGGACTAGGTGTAAAATTATCATACGCTCATTGAACTAAATCACTACTTACTTTCCTTCTATCTTCACTGCATTATCAGCGTATCTGATATCAGGAGTGTTGTTTGTCAAGCTAGCACAGTAATCATCAATCATCAAAGCTGTGAACTTGTCCTTCAGATCCATTTCCAGGTTGTATTTTGCTGAACGGTTTAGTCTAGGAGGAGAAACAACCGGACTTCTAAGCCAAAGGGCAGGCACTCCCAGGTGCCCATAACATGCGCGCATACGTGCATTAGGTAATACAAATGCTGTTACGGAATTCTTCATGCAGGAACCATTAATTGCAAAGTCCCCAAATCGAGAGCATGAAGCTGCCTCCATATAAATTGATGGCACAATTCCCATTGGAATTAAAGGCACAGGACTGGATCATGGGAAGACCAGGGATCACGTGCAAGTACTTGGAATTCTAACAAACAGAACTTCTCACCATTACTGATCAAATAGCATGAATTAGGACTGACCTCCTGTAACTGTTTAGCACTGAAGGTAACTTTGGACCTGTGCTCAGCCTGACCCTACAACTTCTCAGGATTACGGCTGTCCTACTTTTCAGCTAATCAGCGTTCAGTTATGTGCTTTGCCTCTGCACCTGATTTGCTCCTTGGTTTGTTCCACTGTATGTCCAAGCAAAGCAATAACACCCTGGAGGACTTCAGCTTCCTTTACCAGTTCCTGTTCCACTTCATCCTGCACCAAGTCAATCCCCAGTCGCCTCTGCCTAAACAAAGAGAGGAAAAGCCATCAGCCATATTGTTCAAATGCCTGCAGCTAACAGAAGTGAAGAAGCCCAGCTTTCCAAATTGAAGGCTTTTCCTTGCCACACAGGAACTTTTTCCTTTAGGGCCTTGCTTCCCCAGTGTTACAACACCGAAATCAGACTGTGACTCCACTGCAAAGAGAGGCAGGCCCTTAGTTTGCAGCCTTTCTTATTACCTGCTAAAGGTTCATTACCTACGTTTTTTTTCTCTCCCTGAATGCTTTCCTTCATCATCATCACCTCACCTGTTCAGGAGACACTTTTGGGCAATGAGGAGTGGCTCTTTGCAGCTCTCCAAAGATTTCTCCAGCCTAGTCTTGAAAGTCAACAGTACCTCTGTCTCATGAACAATTTGTTCAAGTTTGTTTTCTAATTCTTGCTTCCAGAATTTTATTTCGTCCCGTCTCTGTTCTGCAGATTGAAAATTGCAAACAGGTATTAATACAAGCCCATCTCGTATGCCAGAGCACTGTGGGTCAGATCTTAGATATGGCTAAAAATAGACTTACTCCCTAGTGGAGTGCACGTAGTGCTGTAGGCTGATGTGTGGAGACAGTTTTGCAACCCTGTGTCAGGAGGTTTGGCTGCAATAGCTTTCGGTGTGTTTTGGAGAAGTAATTTATTTGTTATAAAATAAAGAATCTGCCTCAAAATACTTTTTAAAATATTCTGAATTTTTCCGTGAGATCAGAGAGCATGGCATGGACAT